TGGCCAGAGTTTCTTTTGAGAATTTTCAGTATAGCAAACCCATATATAATAACTGCAGTTCTCCCTAGATCTTCAGTGTACTGATATGTGAAGATGTAATTCTAAGGGAACAGTCAAGTTTTCCTTTGGTCACAGAAATTGTACTGTAAACATCAACACAAAACGTATTGTAGTATATTCTGATGCAAGGGTTGAAACTCACAAGGTGGGAATCATTATGACACCATTGAATAGATATATCCACCACTCAAGGCTGGGAAAAGGACAATAAAAAGTCACTGACTTGGAAAGATCTTCTGTACCTATCTGATTTCTTTCTTGCTTGCAACTGATTATGTGCCATCAAGAAGGTGTCGACTCTAAGTGACTACATAGATAAAAGAAACTTATGTAGCCTTGTCATTCCTGTGAATCTTCTGCTATAAGTAAGTTCTTCAATATGGGCTTGGGTATCTGGAATGTTGAGATTTACTGCTGGGCTTGGTATAAAGTCTGACTAAGCCTAAGAAAAATGACAGAATTTGAAAAGCTCATATAGACACCTATTAGGGCATATATATAAACTGTTACTTAGATATGACACGGAAACAGAACAAATAAAAAAAAAAGTATGATAAAATGGATTCCAAAACTTCAAAGAAACAATCACAACACGACAATGGGAAGAACTATGGAACAAATCTATAAAATTTACCCCAAGTTATAACTTAAGAGAAAAATGGTATAAAATGCTTAAAGATGGGATACAACTCCGTCAATAATTGCCAAGGTAGACAAATCCTGTAGTAATAAATGCTGGAAATGCAATGAGACAGAAGGAATATTTTATCATATGTGGTAGACATGTAAAAAACCTCAAAAGTACTAGAAAGAAATACACAGCACCATTCAGAGAATTTAAGAAATCATATCTGAAATGAAACAATTTTTTTTAACTAGGCATAATTTCAAGATATATCAACAAAAAAATCACAATTTATTAAGATATTACATGTTTATTGAGTTACATGTTCACGTCCGTGAGGATAAACTTAGCACAACACTGGAAAAGTGATAGATTACTGTGATATCAGACTGGGAACTTAAACTTGGAGAATATACTGTAACAG